CTTTGCATAGTATACTTAGGAATTCCTGCCACGAGGTAGTCCTTTGAATAAAATCAATAAAAAATTTAATCAACATTTACATTTAAAGAGTTTAACTAATACAGAAATGACAATAGTAAATGTGTCAGAACTTACACACTCAAGTGAACACACACTTTTTTCTTGTTCAAACTAGTCATTTTGAGAAGCTTAAATAATCCTAAAATTGGGAGCGGCTATCTGGCACACACACTTCTGTGGGTCCTAACACCATATCAGCACCCACCACAGAGATTTCCTCTCACCACCTCTCCTCGGCTGCCACAGAGCCCAGTCTAGCTTTCCCAGCAACTTCCCAGCTGTGGATATCTGACAGCCTCTCAATCTCTCTTGTCTCTGTACACCTGGTCTGATTCCACTCCTGCCTCTCTACCTAAAGATTTGCTCTCCACGATTCTAGCTCTAGACAACTCTATGAGCATTTGGCATTTAGGCTATTTAACTATGAGTTGTTGTTTTTTGTTTTTTTTTGTTTTTTAACAGTTTAATAAGTCAACCTTTATCATTTCCATTTCAAAACAGGAATTTGATAAAGCAGCCAAATGACACTGGAGTGATCAATGCACTGTAGACCTGCAGAGGTGTAGCATGCAAAATAACTGTCCTAACTTCTTGGTAAGTAGAAAAGGCAAAAGCCTTGCTTGTCACTAAGTGAGAACTCACTGGCTAAGTGGCTTATAATGATTCATGTAGCACACCAAAGTGAAACTCAGGGACTTTTTGGTTTGGTTGGTTGAGAGAGGGTCTTACTATATAATCCCCAGGTTGATCTCTTAACTCCTGAGAGTAAATGATCCTCCTATTTCAGCCTACCAAGTTGGGACTATAGGTGTGCTCCGCCCTAGGCAGAACGCTTGGTTTCCTCTATTCCTGTCTTTCATTTCCCAAACCAGGTAGCTTTTTAGTTAAATCGAATCTGAAGCAGACCACTCTGTACATTTGGGAACATTTGTTCACATGACCAGTTATTTCCACTTTGTAGGCACTCAGAATTTAGAAATAAAAGCTATTATAGGACTATATTACCTATATAGTAATAATAGGCAATAATCAAAACATGAGACTATCAGACTGCTGGTGACTCAGATTTACAATACAGTATTAGCAAGTGGGGCATGGGGACTTTCAAGGGTAATCCCAGCACTTGGGAGGCCAAGGCAGGAGAACCACTGCAAGTTTGAGAACAGCCTAGGTCGCACAGTGCATTTCAGGCCAGTATATGTGCTAGAGAGACCCTGCCTCAATCAACAACCAAACATTAGGACAGATACAGGAGACTGAGCATCTAGTACCAGGTATCAACCAGTGAACAGCAACCTCACCTGGCTAGGACTTGGTTTCGTCATCTGTAACTTAACTGAAATTTATATTCTATTAAAAAAAATCAGTAGTTCCACAGTAAGTTCATCTAAGATCATTAATCATGTTTCCAGTGAATATTGCTGCCTTTGGTGTGGGAGCTCACTGATAATAGGTTTTCCGAACTTTAAAGCCTGCTTGGTGTTTCTTTTCTCCAAGCTGGTGCTTTCTGTTCTCTCCTGGCGCCACCCATGGGTTTTCTTGTTACTCTGCCAAACTTCCAGCTGGTGCCACATAGGTCTCCTTCCCTCTCTCGTCTTTGTTCAGCCACAGTAAATACATTATTTTCTGATTTTTTTAGTTTTGCTCATACTTATGAGTGTACTGTGATAGCTTACAGATTATCAGCTTTCTCCAATCATCTGAGTAGTAGTTTTTGAACATTTACCTAGTGTCTCAATAAATCTGCTATGACCATGATTATGTTTTTAAAAATATTTTATTTTTATGTGTATGAGTATTATATCTGCATGCTTGTAAGTGCACCCATGTTGGTGCAATGCCTGCAGAGGTCTGAAGGTGTCTGATTCCCCTGGAACTGGAGTTAAGGACAGTTGTTAGAGGGCATGTGGGTGCTGGGAATTGAACTCAGGTCCTCTGTAAGAGCAGTCAGTGCTCTTAACCACTAAGCCATCTCTCCAGGCCCTACCATGATTACTTAAATCATCAACTTGCATTAACAAGAATTCCTTCAAGGTGTTCTCACTAAAATGGGGAACAGTAAAATGTGGTGGTTGTAGACACACACACACACACACACACACACACACACGAGACCTCCAAAGTTCAAGTTCTGAGCCCTTTCATTTAAGCCATGTGAATCTTGGGCAAGTTACATTGCTGTGACTGGTCTCCACTGTAAAATGGGGTTAACTGCTCATACCTCACAGGGTGGGTCTGAGCAATAATACTCTCAGTATGGAGTATTTAGAGCAGTGCTTGACACAGAGCAAACACTCAAATGTTAGCTTTTCTGAACTTACATCATGCCATGGCTTAACTCTTGACTTCCATAGCTGGACTCCAACAATTCCAGAACACATAAACCAAGGTTCCCATGTGATGCTTTAGGACAGTGATAGGGAAAGTGCTTGACTTCATCCATTCTAATGTCCGTGGACAGTTATCAAAGAGAGATGGACTTCCTTCAAGGAACCGGATATTAAAATCTAGATTTATAAAACAGGCTCAAGGAAAATATAACTTGTGCTTTGTCATTGTCAACAGACAATCCTCATTAACATTTAAGAAAACTGAATTTTTAATTTAAAAATTAAAATGAGTTGCGTGCGTGTGTGTGTGTAGGTCAGAAGACAATTTATGGGAGTTGGTTCTCTCCATCTACCATGTGGGTCCTGGAAATCAAACTCAGGTCATCAAGCTTAGTGGCAGGTATCTTTACTTGCTGAGACATCTTGTTGGCCCTTGAGATTTTTTTCTTTTCTTTTTTGGTCTTTTTGAGACAGGGTCTCCCTGTAGCCTCAGCTGGCCTAGAACAGGCTGGCCTAGATCTCATAGAGATCTGCCTGCCTCTGTGCTGGGATTAAAGGTGTGCACCACCACGCCCAGTGAGAACTATTTTTTTAAAAAGACAAGAGTCAAGTAAAAAAGTGTATACATGTGAGGAGGAAGAAAAATCAGCAGACTATTTGGCAAAAGGAAGTTATTGCCATTGAAAAGACCTTCATTTCCTCAGAGGTCAGCCAAAGCAGAGAGAGGCTTGAGAGCTGTACCAATTCTATTTTAGTGCAAAGAAGCTCACCATTAATCAAGAGGAATACTTTTTTTCCTTGATTTGTTTCTAGGCTCGCATGGCGTTTATAAAGAACACTGATCATAATGACTGAACACTTTGGTGACAGTTTTAAAAACAGAGTATGGTAGCACATGGCTGTGATCCCAACACTCAGGAGGTATAGACAGGAGGAGGATCATGGCTAACAAACAAGTGGAAATGTCTGTCTTTGACAAAATCTGGTCTGATGGGAATCTCCAGCTAGTGTCCAAGACTGCATTCTTTATTATACCTTCAGTGCATCTCCCTAAGCTGGTCTCATAAACTCTATTTTGATAAATGGCAATTCTACCTTTTTTCTTGAAGAGGCTCACAGAGCTGAGTCATTTTGCATCTCTCTCTCTCTCTCTCTCTCTCTCTCTCTCTCTCTCTCTCCCTCCCTCCAACTCAGGATTCTACAGCAGAGCCACTCCCCACACTGCAACACTCAATCTTCACACACACCCTTTTCATTCACATGACACATCGGCTGTGTCTTCAAAACCACATCCAAGATGTGATCACTTTCAAACCATCTCCACTGCCAACACCTTGACTGGAGACCAATCTCCTTCCAGGATTACAAGTCTTCCTGCTCTTCCTTTTGCCTGTTCAGATCCTATTTAAGCCCCGGTGACTTTACTCCCGTACTCAAGCCCCTCCCATCTCACAGAGTTAAAAGCCAAGAAGATACTCTAGAGAACAAGTGAAAGGGGAGGAGATACATTAAAGGACACTTCTAAGAGTAATTCTGAAAGGGAGCAGTTAGTGATGTGGTGAGACAGCCCTGGTGGCAGAGTGCTTGCCTAACGTGTGTGAAGTCTGAACTTCAATCTCTAGTACCACTGAGGTAGACAACCTGGTAAAAACATATACCCTTAGTATTCTAGATGAGTAGAAATGGAATTTTCCTACAAGGAACATTTAAATATGAAGACTGCTCCAAAGGAAAAAGCCATTGGGATTATCTTTGAGGCTGCAATTAGGAGACATAAATGCGATATTTCTTCCCTTGGCCAAAATATTGACATTTCTTTAAAGATTATTAGTTTTATTTTTTTGAAACAGAGTCTCACTATGTACCTGGTTGGCCTGCAACTCACTATGCAAACCAGGCTGGACTGCACCTGCCTCTGCCTCCCAAGTGATGGGATCAAAAGTGTGTACCACCAAGCCTGACCGCAGATTTACTTTATTATTTACATGTATGAGCATATGTCTGGATGTACACATGCATGCGTGCTCCCAGAGACCAGAAGATGTCGGTTCCCTTGAAACTGGAGATACAGGCAGTTGTGAGCTACCTAACTTGATAGCTTAGAAACTGAACTCCTTCCTGTCCTCTGCAAGAGCAACAAGGGTTTTTAACAACCGAGTCATCTCTCCAGTCTCTGACATTTCTTTAACACAGATGAGTAAGTAAGGTACTGCCACAGAAACAGAAATACTCAAAATGCTTGAACAAAAAACCCCACCTGACTAATGATTTTACATTGCCTGAGTTTTAAAAACTTGAATTTCATTAAAAAAAAAGAGCTGAACACACAAACTTTTATCATCATGAGCACAATTCAAGTAGCTTAGTATGCAACTTGAAAAGAGGCAATTCTCTAAGAGCTTAACTTAGAATAGTCTAAGCCACTAAAATGTTGTTTTATTAGTAAGAGGTGACTTCCAAAGAAAACAGATACAAAGTGTCACATTAAATGCATTTCCAGTTAGTACTGCATAAGTGTAGAGTAGATCTGTCCAGTCTGGGCCCTTATTGTTTCTGGCTTCCCCCTCTCAACTGCGCAAAAAAGGAATCCACAAAGACAAATTCACATATCTATTTTGAAAAGTATTTACTTAGTTTGAATAAATTAATTGCAAATAAAAATTAAGCTACAATATATAGCCTGAATAGAAATGACAAGAACTAACACAACACAGGACTCCATTTCCTTGCGTTAGTCACAAAGCACGTGACCAGAAAACTTCAAAATCAATTAAATTTCTTTGAAAACAGGGCAACAACCAGCAGTTACTGATACATCACAGGTAACTTATAATACAAATTTCCTGACATGCATTTCCTGAGTGAAACCAAATGATCATTTTCAAAACAAGAAATTTGACAACCAAATAAAATAAAATAGTTCATGGCTTCTAAGTGACAAATTTTTTTGTTCTACTTAAAAAAAAAATTCAGAACATTGATGTAATAAGATAAATTAACGCTATACTACCACATACAAAAATTTGCTACAGTCAATGAAGTATTATACAAGGTTTCAAACTAAAGGAAAAGAAATCAAAGACTGAGAGATGATTCTGCCTAGTCTAAAAGGACACTGATTCCCACAAGTGTCGAAGGGTTTGGTGTAGTGTGACTGTCTCTACTTCTGGTGCGTCCTTTAGAAGGCTGGGGGTGAGAAGAAACTTGTGTTGCTTCTGAAAGCAAAGCACACACCGGAATTAGAGAACAGACCCGGCAAATGCAATCCTCCTCTGCTGTCACTGGTGCTCATCTGCTAACCGACATTTCCTTGAGTTCACTGTGGCAACTCTCCTTAGGAGTCAAGCCCACAGTTAAGGCTGGTCTGTAGGTTAAAAAAGGGAGGTACTATTGTCATTCAACCCTTTATAGCTCTCAATTTCTATGCCTGGATAAATCCAGAGACAGAGTACTAACAAAACATTTCTTTTTATTTCTTTTCTCTAAAAGCAAATCAAGTAATTTTCTTGTTAATTTCTTGTTAATTTATGCATTTTCTTATAGGATTTTTTTTCTTTTTTTTTTTTTTCTTTTCTTAGAAACAGTGAACAGATGAATCACAGTTTATATCCAAAAAAATAAACTTGCCAAATGTTGCTGGCACTAAAAACAGATTAGTTATCATGGGAGAAAAATAGATAATCTAAATTGCATATTCAAAGGAGCATATAAAATGTTTCTTACCACTTTTTTGTTATAGTACTATACTTGAGGAACACTAAGGACAAAAATCTTTCCTGATTAACTTCAATATGGTTAAGAACAAACACCCCTTAGTCAATGGCAATCAATGTGAATCTGGTTTTGTAAAGGGTTCTAATTTACCACATTTCCCTATTTATACGGGGTTGGGGGAGGTTGTCTTGCCTTTCTTCCTAGCTGCAAACCCTCACACTATGCGCCCACCACGCTCTGCTCACACAGAAGGTGTGCCCACCACCATCACTGTGCTATTGTACTGTGAATGCTCATGATCTTCTCTGTGATAAAGATAGACAGTAAAAATTAATATACATGTTGCCGTATTTTACACTGTCTGCAGCAAACTGTAAACTAACATAGTTTGAACCGACAGAACCCTCAGTTTTACAGAACCCAACACTGAGGACGGGTGATTCAAAAACACTAAGACGAAGGCATCAAATTAGACTGTCTTTTTCTCCTCAAAATATATTTTCAAAACTCAGATTCAGAAGTCTGGTACTTTCAAAAATTCCTTTGCTTGAGTTTCCCAGATTTTTCTCAGAAATTGCTATTTATTATAAATATTTTAAAAAATTCTTCATCTTAATGCAAATGACCAGAGCAGAGAAACTGACATGGACAAGAGGTTGGAAAACCCAACTCACTTAGCTTATAAATTTATAATGCAGTCCTGGAGGACAACTGTTTGTTAGTCTAGAGGTCCTTGGAAAATAAGTCTGATGTAGCCTTGTTCACCAGCCAACTGATGTGCACAGAAGGGACAGGCTGCATGAAAAGTGTGAGTACCATGAGGAAGTGGGATCTGGGACCAATAGGCTGTTGTCTTTTCTGAACACACATGCCCACAAGGGCTAAAGGCATGGGTTGGAGGGCCGGCGTCCACATAAAATCCAGCTTCACATCCAAGCCACAGAGGGACATAGGGACCAACAGACCTACACATAGGACATTCACGGTCTTTTCCGTCACGTTCTTCTTTGTTTCCCCAGTTATGATAACCGTGAACATGGCCACAGTTTAGATACACCCACGGTTGTTTTTCATCTACAACATCTTTCCTCTTCATACTGGGAAAAGCCAGTGTGTTGAAGCCCACGGGGCACTGAGGCCGTGCTGCGTTGATTTCCTGTCTCAAAGCTTCTAAATGCTTCAAGGTAGGAGTATGGGAAAGACCTTCTGCAGTACGCCACAGCAAGGTTGCACCACAAAGGTCGATTAGGGAGCCATCTTGTAGCTGATTGGTTTCGATTTCCACCTGGAGCAAAGAAGCAAATACACATTCACCACGATGTTTTGAATTTTCACATAAGAGTTTTGATTTTAAGGGCTTCCTAATGCCTAAGAAATGAAACTTCCTAATATTATCCACTAAATATTCAAGAAACTTTAGTAGCAGTCATAAAAATGTTAAGTTTGAAAATCAAGGAAAACACTGAATAGTAACACATTTCTAGTCAAAAGACAACTTCTGATTCAAATATCTGGTTAGTCAACAAACCTACTATCTTTAATTAGTTGAGTATGGTAGAAGGCATATAGTTAGGTCCTAGGCTGTCTAACCTAGGAAATCTTAGGTTAAATATACTACCACAATGCAACAGAAAAATAGATGCTTTACTAACTGAAACAAGACACCATTCTCTAGAATTAATATTTGGAAGTCAGTGATGGTCTTACCTCTCCGTGTCAGCAACATATTTAAGAGTTACTTTAAACACACACACACTGTTGCAGAGGGAGAGGGAGAAGGGAGGCGGAGAAGGGAGAAGAGGGGAGAGGGGGAGGGAGATCTATCTTATATATTTACTGTAGTCAGAAAAGCTATAAAAAGAAGCTACAAATCAGTACTTACCATTTTTCCTCTCTGCTGAGCTGATCTGGTTTCACGTAGACTGAACACATTTCCACATACTGATATTTCTCTCCATATTCCAGGCTTGGAGTCTTCTGTGAACCCATTGCGTGGATGCATCACAAGAACACCATTAGTGGTCAAGCCATCCATCTGCCCATCAGATGTCTTCCATTTGGCAGCCTTTTCCTATAGAAAGAGCAGTGAGTTTCCATTTATGTATAATTTAGAAATAGAAACTGGTATAAAAGAAATGCATTATTTAGGAAAAATGCTTTTTACCCCAAGAAAGATGTTTTTTGATGAATCAAATCCTGCAGCATAAATCCGTGCTGTAAAGGGAGGATTCCGTTCACATATTATCCTACAGGCAAATCTTGATATAGTGCTTTGAACTGACTGTGTATCAGAGTTACTTTGACTTCCAGGAACTGTGTCAGTTACTACAAAATCAATAGGACTTTCAGTTGACCGACCAATCTAAAGGAAAAATAAATATATAATATAAACTTATTCAAAGAACTTAGTGGAATCCATTCAAGAAAGGGCTAAGGCAAAAACATTAAGCCTCTGAAGTTTCTAAAGCTTAAACTTAGAATACTTAACTATGGGGACATCTACACCCTTGAAAACTAATCTGTTGTACTCTGATACAGTAATCACGTGAAGCATAGAATTAAGTGGGAGCGTATGATGGAATTTATGAAACCCTCAGGGAATAAAGAATTCAGCACGGCTGCAGGCTTTAACCTCGTAAGGTGGAAATAGATCTACCACATACTACTTACTTTGTCCAACAGAATATACTCAACATGAGCAGATCTTTTATAACTCTAGAACTACTAATCCCACTCTACAATGTTAACATGCTGCTGTCTTCAGGAGCTAGAAAATGTGCGTTAAAAACACTGATCCTTATGTCAATGACTATGCAGCCTTGCTTGGAGGTCTGTATACATTTCAGGGATTTCTCCATTTCTTTTCATTAGGTTATTAGCTGTCATTTCTTGCTTTGGGCAGTGTTTGTTTTCAGCAACAAGCCTCTCCTCTAACAACTTACTCTTATTCTGATATGGGTTGATGTGCTGGACAGCTTTAGTGTCAACTTGACACACCTGGGTTGAGGGAGCCTCAACAGGGGAATTGCCTCTATTGGACTGGATGTCTGAGGGGCATCTTCTTGATGAGTGATGTGGGAGGGCCCAGCCCACTGTGGGTGGTGCCACCCCTGGGCAGGTGGGACTGTATTGTATAAAAAAGCAGGCTGAGCAGGGACCAGGGGAGCAAGCCAGTAAGCAGCATTCCTCCATGGCCTGTGTTCCAGCTCCTGCCTCCAGGTTCTTGCCCTGAGTTCCTACCTTGGGCTCCCTGATGAACTGTGACCTTGGAGATGTAAGCTGAATAAAACCTTTCCTTCCCAAGTTGGTACTGGTCAGAGTGTTTTGTCACAGCAATGAAGAACAAACTAGGACAGTTGAGAAATGAAATAACTAAACTTCAAAGAACACTATTTCTTGGTGTCAAGGATTCTCAAGGGAGCACAGGAAAGGAATTTCAATAGGCAGACTGTGTAGGACTGATTTCATATGCCTAGATAGCCTTTCCATTTTCTTCCTGATTCTTGCCTGTTTTTCGAGGTAAGTTTTCCAGGGGAGTTTTGGATAAGTGAGGTGTCCGAAGATTAAAACCATTAAGATTAGCTAGAAAGTTACTTGAATTTTTAAAGTTGAAGAAAAGGCAAATGTATAGAATAGATGACGAAAGTAACAGTGTCATAGCTTTTAAAGGAAACATTTAGAAGTCATACATTCTGTAATGTATTCATTACACAGTATTATACAACTGAAGAATGGGGGTGTGCAAATGAAATACCAGTACTCTACAAAGATAATGCCCTGGCCTGAACTCTATACCCTCTTGCCTCTCAGCCTCCTGGATGCTGGGACTATGGGCGAAGGACACCAGGCTGGCCCAAGAGTGAAGAGTGTGACCCTTAGAAGTTACACTATGTTTAGTTATATCAATATGCAATTACATAAAACTTTTCAGCGTTTTTGTTGTATCACTGAAAGGACAAAAGTCTTTTTATTTAGGTTCGATGGGTTTTGGGGGAAATTGGTTGGTTAACAACTATAAGATTGGATGTCCCTATATTTTTAAAATAATGTTATCCAAAGAAAATGGTCACAGACCCTTGAAGCTAAAAATAGTCTCCTCCCTCAAAAGAAGACTTTTTAGAGACATAAGATGCAGAGTAGGGACTGGACTGAGGATTAAAGTTCAGAATCGAGCAGAAGTAGCACTTGTTTGGGAAGAACTGACATTTGATTTGGGTCTCGGAGCAATACTGAGAATGACAAGTGAGGAGGAAGCGGCTTAAATATCTAGGCAGAGAAAAACCAACACGAATGTGATCAAACACCCCACATGTGGTTTTATGTCAAGATAAACATGAATGATTTTTCTGTGATTACTACTAAGAGTGTAAAACTAAGAGTTGAAAATATAGATCTTTCCGTGTCTTCCCACCATGAAAACAGCTGACAGCCTATTCACCCTTTTTATTTTTGTTTATTTTAAAAATACAGATCGTTCCATGTCTCCCCACCATGAAAACAGTTGACAGCCTATTCACCCTTTTTATTTTTGTTTATTTAAAAAATACAGATCGTTCCATGTCTCCCTACCATGAAAACAGCTGACGGCCTAGTCACCCTTTTTATTTTTGTTTTTTCTTTTGGGTCTAGGCTGGCCTTGAACTTGCAATCCTGCTTGCCTCCACCTCTCAGGCACTGGGATTACGGATGTGCATCATGCCTAGTTTTTTAGTTTATTATTCTTTTCGATTTTCCTTTCTCTTTTCTTCTCTCCTTCTTCTTGGCGGGCACTCCATCACTGACTTACATCTCAAGATCCCCCCCCCCCAGTTTTATTTTCAGATAGGATCTTGCTAAGTTGCCTAGACAGGTCTTGAACTTGCGATTCTCCTACCTCAGCCTCCCAAGCAGAAGGGAGTTACAGGCTTGTGCCATAGTATACAGCTAGCTTATTTTTCCATAAGAGTTACCCTTAAAAAAAAAAAAAATCAATCCAGACTAATTTCCTGCCATTTCTGTGCACATAGTTCTAGCTATAAAAAGCTGATCATCAATTTTCTACCACACTGATATCTCTTTTGGCAGAATGCCTTTGTATTTGTTGCTTCCAAAAGTCCGGCTCAACCTGATAAGAAGGTCCAGATAAAAAAAGGACTATAAGCCGGGCATGGTGGCGCTCGCCTTTAATCCCAGCACTCGAGAGGCAGAGGCAGAGGCAAGGTGGCTCTCTTGTGAGTTCAAGGCCAGCCTGGTCTACATAGTGAGTTCCAGGACAGCTGGGGCTACAGGGAGACCCTGACTCAAAAAGACCAAAAAAAAAAAAAAAAGGACTATAAAGCCTTTTATTCACCCTTCCTCCCAATCAAGAGTCTGTATTTCACATTTAGACTACCAGTGTAGCACCTAGGCATAAAATTAAATTGGGAGTTTGAGAATCTACCTGATAGACCAGACAATAAATGTTCTTGTCCAGTTTAGAAGGTAGAGAATTCATTTCTCAAAGACTGGCTAACATGCTACAGGACCTTCTGATTTTTCTCAGGCTTTGTGACACTAGGTATAATGCCTATAGACCAAACACCCATATCGAAAACTAATTAAGACACTGTTCTCAAAAATAAAAACAAAATATTTTGTTAATGAGTAAATTTAAATATATCTTTGGGCTTTTATACTTAATCTTTTTATTGAAAAGATTTTAATGGAAGATAGACTGTCAAATGACTGAAAATACATTTCGTATTGATTTTATAAAATATCAATTTTAAAGTATTTAAGTAAAGTTGGAAAGATTATCAAAATTTTCAGTACAAATGCACATTCTCAGCAATTCCATTTCTAGGACTCTATCCTAAAACAATAGTCACATATCTTCCCAGACATAAATGAGCTAAGATTCCACTACACTAATGTGCTAACAAGAAAAACCTGTGTTTACCAGTAATTAGCCAGCTAATATTCTAATATACATTCTAATACGCGTTCTAATATGAAAATCAGAATAAAGTGTCATTTTACACTCACTTTAAAGGCTACAATAACAAATGAAGAAACTGGGCCCTTGTTGGTATTGATGGTGGAGGTGAAAGTGGTACCTTGATCATGGAGAACAGCTTGTCAGTTCTTCAAATGGATAACACAGCATTAACAAATGATTTGTTAACAGTGATCTGATTCTTTAAGTGTGTGATCAGAAGAACTGAAACAGTAGTCAATGTGTATACACAAAAATTCACAGAGATATGATTCACAATATCCAGAGGGTGGAAACAACTCAATGCTGTTTTTTACTTAATCTTATAAAATAAAGAAAAATGAAAATTAACTGCGACAGTAATTCTAAAGGCAACATTATCAGTCGATCCTACTTAAGTTTCTTCAGAAAACTTAATGCTAAGAGAGAAAATACCAATAATTTTGCCTATGCCTTTGGGCTTCACTGCTTACAAAATTATCAGCACTAGACTGGTACGAAGAATGGGGGCCAGGGGAGTGCAACTTTTATTGTATCAGTAACTTTGACCAAATATGAGCAGAAAAACAAATTTGACTTCCTATATTTGATGTAAGTAGTTAAAATTGCTTGTACTTTTTGTTGCTTAAGAGAGGAAGGTAGGAGTACTGGCAAAAAAAAAAAAAAAACACACCATGTGCATAATGTTTCTGGGTGTCTTGTTTTGAATAATGACTTTTACTGAGTTTACTAGACAGTTGGCACAGCTCTGAGTACACTATACACCTAAATTCATTTAAGCTTTTTAACAGTTAACAGCGAAGCTACTACCTGAACTTTACAGAGGACACAGAGGCACGAAACAGCTAAAAAATGTTTACTAGGAATTCTGATTCCAGAGCCCATCTTAAAAAAGATTTTTTTTGGGGGGGGGTCTTTTTGAGACTGGGTGTCCCTGAAGCTCCAGGCTGGCCTCAAACTCACAG